AAGGCATAAGGAAGACCTCCAAGTAGATAAGGATATCTCCCTAAAAGTGGGGAATATTATGTTCAGGACTGTCCTGAACGGCAATTGGGGAAGCTTAGAAGAAATAATCCTGGGAGAAGGCATAAATGATTCATATGAAATTTTCCATCAATCCAATATCCCCAAACGTACAAATATTAAAAGTGCCCCAAGAATGTAACAGGTGGAGATGAAAACCAAAGGTGGCATGGCAGCCATCATGTGGCTCAGCTCTGCTGGATCTTTGTCAAGCAGCTGTGCTGGCTTTGTGATTTCTGCCATTCCATTTAGATATGACTTTGCTAGCTGCCTTTTCTCCAACATGTATTTTTGGATTCTTTGTCAAAAATCAGGAGGCTGCAGTGAGTTTACATGTGAACCCTCAACAATTCCATTGATCAATGGGTCTATTTTTATGCCAATATAATACTGCTTCTATTGTCATATCTTTTTCCTTTTCTAGTTCTTGGCTTGTAGTACAGGTTTTAGGACATTGTTTATAAGCTAATTAAAAGAGATTAACTATTGTTAGTGATAGATGCTTAAATTTATCCTTAGTCTCAAACCTAATATTACCTTAATGTTACCTTACAATGTTCATATAAAATCTGTATGTATAACTTTAAATTGGTTATGTATTTATTTCATTTTATAATCATTTTAATGTATCTAGCCATCGAATAATCTCATTAATAATGTTGTCTGTTGGAAATGTGCATCCTTAACATCTCATTGTTTATATTTTCAACAGTTATTTAATATAATTTAATTTTAAATAGTTTTTGCCTATGTGAAGGTCAGTCTATCTCCTTTATACCCATAAAAATAAGCTTCAGTCAATTCTGACCCATTAACTTCTTCTCTGAGAGGGAGCTTAGATTTTTTTCATGCTTGTGAATAACACAGAGAGCAGTATGAATACACACAATAGCAGATGTATCTTTTTTCAGCTGCACTAATCAGTTACTAACCAGGTAACAAGAGTAATATCTCTTGGATAATGATAGCATCAGTGATAATGTTAGAAGAATTAAGTCTTGTAATTCTGCACAATTTATGACAACGGTGGGGTACAAGTTTGGGATATAAAAACTTTATGCACATATGTATGTGTTTCAGAGCTAAGGATCAAAATGAGGGCTTGGGGATTCCAGGAAAACACTATGTCATTGAACTGTGTGTGCCATCATGCTTAGCTGCTATAAATTATTTAAAATTTCCTTCTTTGTTAGTTATATACTGACATATGCTGTCTCTTAACAGATGTCTACCTTACTTAACCATAAATTTAAGTATTTCATGGTTAAATTTCTTACAAAATCATTAGTGTTGTGACTTTCATGTTTGCAAATCATCATTACTCGACTGGAGTAATGTTCCAGTCTCATATCCTTCAATATGTGTGTGTTTTCCTGACTAACTTCTTGTCTACATGCTTACTAATTTTGTATGTCAGGGAGGCAACTCCATAACTTCCTCATTTCATAAGAATATGTATGAGAGGAAACGTTTAGATCCATTTTCTCATTTTCCTATTGTCTTCCACTGTGTTTGAATGATTCTAACATCCCAGCCAGGGAAGTGAGGTACTGAGGCATTGCAGTCTGTTTTTGGGCTTTCTGTCGGTGGCTCTGTGACTTATGATAAATTTTGACATTTATCTCCTTTAGAGCTACAATTGTCTTTGCTTCAGCCAGAAAATCAGCTCCTAAGTCACCTTATATCAATAATACTTTCTTCTTTGATATGGTATAAACGTTGTAATAACTTCTCCAGTGTGTCTAAAGGCACATTTCTACACAAGCTCTTCTTTAGATGCTTTAAAAGACACTTTGTTTCCAAATACAGCCATTTAACACTCAGTAAAAATATTAAGATAATTATTCCAACACATACCTAATTTTTAGAAACATGCCATTTGTCTTTAGATATATTTATGAAGACATCTGCAAATGTACTCTTTATGTTTTTATCAGATGTGTTCTACCTGACTTTAATAATTAGATGAAATTATATTATTTCTTACATGGAATATAAAAAGAAATATTACATCATATGGATGTGCTATGTAATAAAATGATTTAACAGTCATATTTCTTTGGTGTGTTATATGAAGAAAGAAGTTCACATCTTAGCTTTGCTTATTAGGAACAGGGTGTGGGTTGGGGGAAAGGGCTGGGTGGGAACGGGAGAATGTGAGTGGTATGTAAAATGAATAAAAAATTTCTTAATAAAGAAAGAAAATAGCCAGGCAGTGGTGGCACACGCCTTTAATCCCAGCACTCGGGAGGCAGAGCCAGGTGGATCTCTGTGAGTTCGAGGCCAGCCGGGTCTACAGAGCGAGATTCAGGAAAGGCACCAAAACTACACAGAGAAACCCTGTCTCAAAAATAAAAAAAAAAAAGTTTTTATATTTAAATAACACTAAATGTGATAAGCATACAGATAATTCAATCATTTTAAAAGAGAATGGTTTTAATGATTCAGAATGCATATGATTATTAGGACTCTTAGATGCACAGAAGATAGTGTGAGTTTTAATAATTCACACCAAAGTGTAACTGAAGGGTGTAAATGTAGGGTAGTCTATATTCGTGAGCTTTAATTTACTATTTATAATTTCCTTACAATACAATTGCATGCATTTAGTCTATATTTAGCCTAAGTTAAGTAAAAATATTTGAAACTTCACACTGATTGTATTTAGGTAATTAATTTCCCATACTAGAAAAATTGGTCAGTTAATTTAATAAATTATTGCTTTATTTATTTTGAAATTCTGAATTGGATTTATTAAATGATAATTAATACAAAAACTTTAGGCATTAATGCTGTACCATATGGATCATAAATAATCTAGTTTGGAAGGCAAGTATGTGAAAATAGAAAACTTGCTCATGAGCTGCTATTTTTGAAACAGAGTGGTAAACTTATAGTGATATTTTAACTACTATTTCCACTTTGCTGTTTAAAATTTCTGTGATGAAAATATTTAAAAATAACAATACTAAATGGGACTATAATTTTATTAAGAATTTTTTTTATTCATTTTATGTACCAACCACAGATTCCCCTCTCTTCCCTCCTCCTGTCCCCTACTATTCTCCCCCCTAAATCCACCCCCCATTCCCTCCTTTGAAAAATGTAAGGTCTCCCATGGGTAGTCAGCAGAGCCTGGTCCATTCAATTGAGGCAGGTCCAAGCCCCTCCCACTACATCAACGCTGTGCAAGGTGTCTCATCATAGGTAATGGGCTCTAAAAAGTCAGTTTATGCACCAGGGATGGATCCTGATCCTACTGCTGAGAGGCCCCTTAAGCAGATCAAGCTACACAACTGTCTTGCTTATGCAGAGGGCCTAGTCCAGTCCCATGGAGGCTCCACAGCTGTTGATCTAAAGTTCATGAGTTCCTACTAGCTTAGTTTGGTTGTCTCTGTAGGTTTCCCCATGATGATCTTGATGCCTCTTGCTCACAGAATCCTTCTTCTCTCTCTGCGACTGGGATTCCTGGAGCTCAGCCTGGTGCTTGGCTGTGGATCTCTGCATTTGCTTCTATCAGTTACTGGATGAAGGCTTATGGTGGTATTTTATTGGTACTGAAATGTGATTTTATTTGTATGTTAATAAATAAAGTTGCTTGGGGGTCAGAGCTAATAGCAAGCCATAGCAGGGCTGGGCATTCGTGGTGCATGCCTTTAATCCCAGCACTTGGTAGAAGAGCTAGGTAGATCTCTGTGTGGTCAAGGATACAGCCAGCATTAGAAACACACACCTTTAATCTCAATACCATAGAAGACCTGGAGGGCTGTACATACAGGCAGTGACGAGGCAGTCATGTATTTGGGTTTACAACCAATGAAAAGGCAGAACAGATAGACTATATAAAGACAAACACATAGGAAGTAGCTCTCTTTTGGAGAGGTAGGACCACTGCAGGAGGAAGGGTAAGGTTTTAGCTCTGAGCCCTGACCTCTTGGCTTTTTTCTTTACATTGGTTCTGTGTTTCTTATTTAATAAGACGGTTGGTTACATCTACAAAGGCTCTATGATGACAGGTAGGGAATTCACTGATCTGATTACCGGGGTAAGGCAATTCAGGTACCCGCTCCACTATTGCCAGTAGTCTAAGCTGAGGTCATCCTGTGGATTCCTGGGAATTTTCCTAGCACCAGGTTTCTTCCTATCCCCATGATGTCTCCCTCTATCAAGATATCTCTTTCATTGCTCTCCCACACGGTCCCTGTTCCAGCTTGGCATTTTACTCTATTTTATTCTCAATTTTTTGAAACTATAAATAATAGAATGAAGCATTGTTCTCTCTTCTCATTCTTAAAACCTGTTTGTCAGGTATACTATAGTCACCTATTGTAGGTGCTATAAATAGCATAATATTGACTTTCTTAAAGAGCACATAGTAAGATTTCTGTAAAGCATAGTTATGTTTAGTATTTGAGCCCAAGTGTAAGAAGGAATATCTTTAATATTTATATTGTTAATTATATTATGAAAGCAACAGGTTCAAAATCGTATTTGAGGAGTAAGTGCTATGATGGCAATCTTCATTGCCAACTTGACTGGGTTTAGAATCACCCATGAGATACATCTCTGGGAATGTCTTGGAATCAATTCCCAAGAGACTAAATATTGAATAGGGAAGATTTATCCTGAAAATAGGTGGCATCATCCATGGTCTAGGCTCATGTATCAAATCAAAAGGAAATAATGAAGAAAGTGAGCTCTACGTCAGCATATATGTCTATGCTTCATAACTACAGATGTGACATTACCATGCCCTCACACTTCCGTCAGCGTGCCTCTCATACCATGTTGGATTGTATTCTTAATTCATGAGCCAAAATAAATCTTCCCTCCCTTCAGTTCCTTCCTGTAGGGTGTCTGTTCACAGCAACAAGAAAAGCAATGAAGAGAAGCGCCACACAGAGTTTTAAAGAAAGGATTATGACCAAATCAAGATGAATATCCAATGTTTAAATAAATCTTTATTAGTCAGTGCTATGGTCTTAGCCATATGGTGGATCATAGCTATAGGATCAGCGCTTGGGAGGCGAAAGTAGTAGGATCAGGAGTTCTGAACTACATGAGATGTTGTCTCCAAAAAAAAAAAATCTAAAACAAAAATAAAACTTTAAAAAAAAAGCTGTGATCATAAGTAATGGAAGAGCAGTAGCTTGAAAAATCAAAGACAAAATGTCCAAGTCTCTAATTCAGCCTTTGCCAACATTGCCCAGAGTTTCCTGAAGAGTTGGCTGCTTATTTCTTCCACATCACATCCAAATTTCTGACATCATCTTCCATGGGCTGATATGTAGTACTGGGACTAGGGCTAAACTGAAATCTATCATCAGACTCGTTTTCTCTCAGTATTTCTCTAAGGTGTGAGTAAGTGTCCCAAAACACAGACTATGTCTGCCAGGCAGCTCTAGACATAGATGACTGCTTTGGAAGTAGGGGTGCCAGAAGAGACTGGAAATGAAAACTGACTGAGTTACTCTGAAGTAGGGATTATCTCCACTTCCTTGTAGCTGTGAGACTGTTTGAGAATGTCAGGAACATACAAAAGGTTTTGCTGTCATACCCGTGCAAGAGCATCCATGACCTACAATAAAAAATTTATTGCATCAACTTCTTCTTTCCATAAAGTGTAAGTGAAAATGTCACTGATAGGAAGTACAGGTCAACATTAACAGTGAAATTCAGCACTGTCAGTATGGAGGAACCTTGGATAAATTATACTACTCTGTGTGCTACTTATTAAGGAGAAGAGGAAACTATTCCTTGGCATCAGGAATTGTGCCAGTACTATCAGCAAGGCCTTGGAGTTCCTCTGCTGAACACAAACATTTTATGGAACGTATACAGCATGTAGGTGTACTCTGTAGCTTTGTTCTGGGTTATTGTGATGGTATACTGCCTCACTGCAGCGGGTAGTAAATGGGATTTGCTCAACTTTAAGTATGCTCTTTCTAGCTATTTCCTGGAAGTTGAACCATCAAGCAATGGAGTCTCTTAGAATCAATTAAATTAGCATATTACTTTGTCCAACAGTCAACAGCATCCTAGGCATTTTAAGTGTACACTTGAATGGCTCCAAATCCATTCACCACAATGTGCTTCCACTGCACTATACATTATCTCCGGAATCTTTTAAGAGCCCTGAAGTGAGGTTCTACCCACCAAGAAATAAATCTTCATTCCTTGTTGCCCCTGCCTTCTATAGCCAATATTCTTGTTTCTGTTTCTGTACATTTGACTAATCAGAAACCTCAGATTTGTGGAATCATACAATATTTATTTTTTTGGCATATTTTCTTCAAATTTCCTCTGTTTCATAGCAGATATTCAGACTTTTTAAAGATGAATAATATACCAATTCTCCACATTTGTTAATCTATTTATTGCTATGTGGTTATTTGAGTTTCTCTTGACTTGTGGAAAATACAAATATCATTGATACAGATGTTGTAAGTTTTGGTCAATGACAAGAATAGCTTTTTCTGATTCATGTTGTGCTGATTTAGTTCATTGACCTGAAGCAATTTTTCTTTTTCTTTCCAGGCTATCCCTATCTCCACCAATCTCTGTGCTTTGAGAAACCATGTATTTTGTAATAATCGTCCTTGAGATATCTAGAAGAGTACCAAATGTAATTTCCAAATGCAGCTACTAACTTATTAAGATAACAATGAGGAGAAGAAATAGGGGAAAAGAACATAGAGAGTCAAAGTAACCAAGTGTTTTTCTCTTCCAATCTTTCTTTCAAGATGTATTTTCAACAATAGGGCCTAAACCTTTGATAATATTTATCACTTTGGTGAAGGGATAAAAATAGAGATATTAAAGGAGATTTTCCTTGCAGTGTGAGAGATACATCTACATCACTTATTTATTCATCTATTGAGGTATCATTTAGCACCTTTCCCCTTGAACATGTATTCAAAAACTTCAAAGAGTTCAGGGACTTCATGCTCCATTTTCTTTCTCTAGGACAGAGCACATATGAAATAGTCAATAAATATTTATGAAATAAGTGAGCAAAATTAATTATTAGAATGGACTCTTACATCTTAGTCATTGTGATAGGCATTATAGAATACTAAATAACACCATGTCTGCCCTAATCATGCTTTAAGACCAACTAGGGAGTCAGAAAGATGATACATCACAGTCATAAACACACACCAATGGCTGCGAGGAGGAAGGGGAGATTACTTCCACTTATGCATGATAAGGACATTTGCAAAGAGGAGCTGGTTTTGTAGGAAGAATCTTGACAGGTAAAAGCCTGAAGAGCATGTATACCATGAGCAGGAAGAAAAACACAAGGGTGAGAAGCATAACAAGGTACTCCAGTATTCTGAGCTCTCATTCTATTCCAGAAAATTCAAATTTCCTTCCTTAATTTCAACTTCATATAAATCATATTTTCCCATCCCTAGGGACAAATCATCTTCCCTTGTGCTTCACTACAGGAAACCAAGTGGCACACAGCAGCCACGTGTGAAAGCCTAACTAAGAATCCAGGCCTCCAGATCTCATAGCTTATCACTCCAGTCACTAAACTAATCTATGAGATTTAGTTAGATTTTCTGGATAACATATGAACTGTAGATGCAGAAAGAAAGAGAAAACTCTGTAGTATTAAAATAGTGGAGCAAAAACTGTGTTTTAGCTTCAAATATAAACAATTATTTTGTAATTCAGACACAGTAAGTTTCTTCGGATGGAATATTTAGTTAGATGTTATAGAGAATAGAAAGAAAGTCATGTTCATTATTATTAATTTTACAAAGAGTATTGCCTTTGGTGTATGTATTTCTAAAGCTTGACTCTAAAAATATTAATTTGCAAACACTGTCTTAAAAACAGTTTGATTGAATTGCCTGAAGCAGATGTTCTCTTCTGAGGCATTATCTGACCGAAATGTATTGTAGTGTTTCCTGACTTCTAAGAATTCTTATTTTTCCTAACTCAATTCAAAATTGGTTTAGCTAAAAAAAAAAAAAAAAAAACAAATTTACTTTAGCAATTAAGGAAGATTGTGAACTGAATGGACAGATAAGGCAAGTAGCTACTGTATTTTTATGGGTAAAAGGAACAGGAAGTAAGGAGATGGTTGAGAGGAGTAGTGATTTTTAGGTCCTCTGCATAATGTGAGTTTGATGGACAGCTGATTGCATGAAGAAGTTTAAGGGTGCTTTAAGGTGCTACTTTAACTCACATTACTCTTTTCACCTATGCTTAAAAGATTTTGGTTTTTAGAGGTGGATGTCCTAGGTAGTTTTTAACTGTGAGTTTCATACAGTCCAGGGTCACTGGAGAGGTAAAACCCTGGTTGA